AGAGGCTTTAACGCACTGAGACACCCCGGTGCCCCTGGACCTATATTTCTGTACTGTGTTTGATTTGATTTGATTTTTTTAAAAGATTATTTATTTGAGAGAGAGAGAGAGAGTGGGAGTGGAGGGGCGGAGGGAGAGAATCTTCAAACAGACTCCCCACTCAGCACAGAGCCTGACACGGGGCTCGATCTCAGGACCCATGAGATCACAACCTAAGCAAGAGTCAGATGCTCAACTGACTGAGACACTCAAGTGCCACTCCCTGTACTGTGTTTTAAATAGGAGTAGTCTGGGAGAATGTCACATTTTACACCATTTAAAACTGCATGTTTTTTGGTTGTTGCTTTAGGCTTAATCATGGATACACTTTATTTTCCTTGCAAGAACACAGGTGGAATGCCAAGAATTATTCAGAGAGAACTGCATTCTGCTGCAGGATAGGAACCGTCACTGTTTTGTTCAAGGTGGAGTTCCCAACAGCTAGGCGTCGAGACCGGCACCCAGTGAGTATTTGATAAATTTCACTGGGTGGGTAAATGGATGCTGGAGTGACTGGATGCAAGGCAATACCATGAATTCCTGTGGGGATGTTTCCCATAGAGGAACATCCTGGAGACAGGATGGGAGACGCTCATCCTAAGGGTCCTGGATGAAAGCCTCAGCCGGTAGGAAACAAGAACGTCTCTAGGGAGCAGCAGGAGGCAAAGGAAGTTTAAGGTTCCAGGTAGGACGACTGAGCCAGTTAAAGGGCCAGCTGGAGATCTTAAGTTGGGGAAAGAAGTTCGTACATGGTAAGCTGGGAGAATAACCTAAAAGCATAAAATGGTGGCTGAGAGCAGTTATCTCATTACTTGTTGCAAAGGAGCAAAATTGAAATATTTGGAAAGAGAAACCTGTTGCTAAAGTTGAAGAAGAAAGTTGGAGGGAACCATACACAGCATCAGGGCATGAAGTGAACGGTGTTACGATTTGTTAGAGTGTAGGTATATATTGGGATTTTAAAACTTATTGGCTTAGTGGCTTTCGTTTGCAGAGGCCAGAAAGCCCTGTTATGACATTGGAGATGTTGTTGTGGGATTTGGGGTTTTCGGAGGTCCTGTTCTTTTTTGTGGGTTTGGGTACAGATTTGCGTAGCACGTGCATCACGCAAGTCGCATCAAGACAGAACTGGACAGTGGCTGGGTTTCACTCACTCTGGGCATTGGGAACCTGACTCCAGTTGCCAAGCAGGATCCCTGTGCTCAAGGACGAAGTGATGATTATACAAGAACTCTTTGGCTTGGATGGTTCAGAGCAGCTTCCTCTGCCTGAAACACAGCGATCCTTCCACAGAGTCAGGCTACTGCTCATATCCACACCACCCTGCACATGGTGTCGCCAGACGTAATGGTATATTCACTCACGTCTGGCCTGTGGTCATTGTTTCAGAGAAACCTGCCCCTACCTAATGTTCCAAAAAAGAGGAACCTCTTCCCAAGGTCAAGGAAGGCCTGGAGAGGCCCCCTGCAGGGTCCTTGGTCCTTTTCAAGCTTGGGAGAGTCTTGGGAGATGCACATGTTTTCAACAAGAGGAACACTATTTCTGTGGGCAGGGTCTCTGGCTGTCTTTCTCCTCACACCTGGTGCACAGTGGGTATCCCAGAGGAATGTAAGGATGAGTGGTCCCACCTAGCACCGCTTTCCTATTGGTTTCTCTGCCCTTGCCCCTGTTGCCAGAGCACATACTCAAAGGGTAGCCTAGGAGCCTTTGATTATCTGGGGTCTGCTGGTCAAACCTGGCATCCCATGATACACAAGGGTCTCCTCTGATGCTGTGAACAAGCCTGATCAGATGTCACAGTGTCTTCTTTCTCACATCATAGCCATTTTCCCCTCTTTGTGCTCCTCTTCTTTTCCCCACCCCTCTCCCAGTGTGTTGTCTACTCTAGTTTCCTCCATGCCTTGACTGGAGGGAACTGGATTCCTCTCCTTGGAGATGACTCTTGGTCCTGCTGGGGCATTTCAAGCAACCTACATCTCTTCTCCACTCCCACTTTTCGTGTCCATGGTCTACCCCAAGCAGAAAGAGAATCCTGACCAGAGAAGGGGAAAAGTGGCCAAACTGTTTCCTTCCACCACTGTTCTACAAAGAAGGTCTTAGAGCCCCAGGGGCACGGCAAGTGGGAAAACAGAGAGATGACCATGAACTTCCCTTCCTGTTGTCATAGCAGTGATTTCTGGTCACTCTAAGTCTGGCCTAAAGTTCCTCCTCTGTTTGGAAGAGCTGGGCTTGCCTGAGTGTCCAGGAGAATCTCCCATTTTCCTGGCAGGAAAGTATGGTTGAGGCACCTGCCTCCTTCTCTTTTTCCTTCCCAGGCTCTCAGCTCAGGGGCCAGAAAGGCCCCGAGAGGGATGCACGGGAGATGAGCTCAGTCAATGCCTGTGGACAGATGAGCACGGCCATAGGAAAAGAGCTCGTGATTCACTCCTTCCCTGTCAAGTGGGAAATGAAACTCCTCATGGCTGGGACTTTTACATCCACCATCTCTAAATCCCCAGTGGGCCCACAGCCCGGGATTTCGGTTGCTTCTTGCTTAGCTTCCTCATACTGGATCAGCTGAATATCTGTGTGAGGCACCCGTTTCCATTACTCAGAGTAGATGCCGCCCAAGCCCAGGCCTTCTTATGCAGTAGGCTCCATCCTGGTGAGGCTTCTGGATCCTCTTCTGGGACCAGTGAGAGGGCATAGAGGCATTTCATCAGTACCTCATGCTACAAACCAGCAGAGGTCTGGGAAAAGTCAGCTCTTTGACAGGGATGAGGCCACACACTCCAGGTAATATTGTGTGGCGGCTTTTGTCCCTCCCATGCCTTAGAAGGGGACCAGGACCCCCAATGCCCCTTCTACCAGAGTCTTGAGTAACTTGGCTTCTTCTCTATCCCAGGCCCTGGACTATGACAGGTTGTGGATGTCAGGCCAGGAGCCAGGAGCAGAAGGTCTGAGATGACTCTGGAGTTTGACTGGGTACCAACCACAAAAGCCCAGAATCAGAACATTCTAACCCTTTCTGAACACTGGTAGAACCAAAGTTCTGCAACCAAATGAGCAGCCTGAAGAGAGTGGGTATAGTCATAAGCGTTCGGAGACAAGCAGTCAGTTAGGGTGAGACCTTCAGTTTGGGGGATGAACCAACGTCAGAATTTAGAAGAGGTAGCAGTCCTGGAAGCTACAGACAGAAAGTGGGTAGGGAAGAGATGAGATAGGGCAAAAGGGACACAACCCCTGTGGCCCAGTTTCTTTCCCACCATGTGGGAAAAGGATTGTTGCTGGGCATCCGTCCTCATCCCGTGAGAGGAGCAGCTCCAGTGTGAGGCCCAGTCTGCCTGGAGAGAGCACCAAGGGGGCCGTAAGTATAGCGGGCTGAGTAGGGAGGTAGGATCCTCTCAGATATCAAAGCAGCAGAAGCCTCTGCAGGGGTGGGTGGCTGTTTCCTTGGCCTTCCTCATTTATTTCCAGCCCTTGTCTCTGACACCACCCTGTCATCCAGATCCATTGGCTCAGATTCATTAAGGCTGGGCCAGCTTTCTCGTCCCATGGTCAGAAGTGTCATGCATTTTGGAGTAAGGTATAAATCACAGTTGTCTCATGTCTTTGCTGTGGAAATGAATGGGAACTGCTAGAAAGAAGCGGTAGCTTCTAGAAGACAGATCCCGACCCACAGACGATAGGTTTCAGGGTTGCGAAATGATCAGCCACCAATTCTTCCATCCACTGATCTCTCATCTGTTCAGCCAGCCAGCCAACCAGCCATCCATCTAATCTGGACCTCGTCCCTTCCTTTTCTCCTTCTCTCCCTCTCTCCTCCTCACTCTTGTCTTCTCTTTCCTCTCTTCCAAGTAATACTGGCCTAGAGTCTGTTATGTGCCAGGCTTCTCAGCTGTGGCAGACTTCTTCAAAGATGAGAAGCTTCCCAGGAGAGAACTTAGTCCCTCCCTGAGCCCTGCATCAGCTCCTCTGCCCTGAGCTTCTCCCATATATGAAGGAGCAGTTCCTGGCCTGATGGGGCTAAGCCTCTTCACTTTGAGAAGCTCACAAGTGCAGGAAGGCAGGGAGGAGAACCCCCATCTTACACTTACATGTTGCATCTCCAAGCCCCACTTTATAAAGCGATGCTCTGTCATCTGGGATGCCTTAGTAACAGCAAGTATATGATTCCAGTGGTCTCCCTGGAAGCCTTGCTTCCAGGCTTCCCACATCCTATTCGATGTTCTTCACCACTATCAGAGTGAACCTTCTTCAGTGGCCCTGTCCTTGTCTCTCTCCTGCCTGAAGGCCTTCACTGGCTTGATGTCATCCATAAGTCAAAGTTCAAGCTGCTTATTATGACCCCAGTTGTCTCTCTCGCCCTATGCCCTTCCCACTCCTGTCACACACTTTATATTCCAGCACCACCAAATGGCCCTCCATGCTGTCTTATGCCCCCTTACTTTTGAATATGCTAATCCTTCTCCTTGGACCTTTTTACCATTATTCCATCTCTGTACTTGCTTGAATGGTGCATATGCCCATCACACTCTATTGTAATTGATTTGCTCTGGTCTGTCTTTCCTACCAGATTGTGAGCTGCTGGAGTACAGACTATGAGTTAGTCATCGTTGTGGCCCAGTCCTTGTACAGTGTCTGGTACCTAGGAGGCCACTCAGTGTGTATTTATGGTATGAATGCCTGTGTGGATGGATAAGGGTTGAAAGGAGTCTTATGAGAGAATTGGAGTAGCGCTGGGACAGTAGAGTTAAAATGTCTGTGTAACAGGCCCATGGAGAAGACAAATGGCCTCTTCCTGAGAGCTTGGAACTTTGCAGAGAGGCTGAGGCCAGACAAGGTGTCTAAACCAGGAATGGGGAACTTTGGGATGATAAGACCTCCTCCTCTGGTACTCACTTCCCATTTTTTTCTGGATAAAAGGTCCTCGGGGAGCCAGCCGGCTGGAAGCACCTGTGCTGCAGGGGTGAGCGTGCGGGATGAAGGCTGCTGAGAGTGAGGTCCCGGATGCGCACTTCACTGTGGATAAGCAGAACATCTCCCTCTGGCCCCGAGGCAAGCACCAGCCTCTACTCAGAGTCTGCTTGCTGTGGTATGTTCTGCTGTTGGCAGGTCCTTCAACAAACGTTCTCTTCTTCTTCTGACAGAGTCTCCTCCCAAGACAGACCCGTGCCTGGTTTTGAGGAAGCCTCTCATGGTCCGGGCTGCAGTCATCACTCTGATGCTGGGCCTCGCGGCCTCCATCCTGCTGCAGGCCATTCTCTGTAAGTCCTCGGGTTTTATCGTCCCAGCTTGGTTCTTCTCCACCATCAGCTCCCTAAACATCCAGACCCTGTCCTTCCTGCTGTCCAATTGCGTCTCCCACCTCTGGCTTTTCCAGTTGTCTCATTTCTCCTCTTTCTAGGTACAGCCACGGGGTCCCCTGTCCCCAGGAAGATGAGCTGCTGCTCTCTCCTTCCCGATTCTGGGGAGATTTTCCTGATTGGGATCAGCCCTTGCATGCTTGGGCTCAAGGATGTGTTCTTTTGTCCCCAGGAAGCATTCACCCATTTCTTCATCCCATGTCATCCCCACCCCTGGAACTGTGTCCCTTTTATTTGGAGCCTTATGGGCAGCTGTTAGCAGTGAGCAGAATGTTTCCTGACCCCACAAAAGAAGGACTTCCAACTGTATCCTCAGCCCCAACTGACTAGTTGGAGAAGCTGCCAATGAGCGGACAGATCTTGTGGTTCACCATCCTTACCAGGACCCCTTCATGCTCTCTTCGTTCTTCTTCCCATCCCTACCGAGGGCCCATCAAAGGAGACTTCCTCCTTGTTCACCAGATGTGTGACTTATCTTTCCTCCACTTCTGCTTTGTCCAGCCCCTCCTGTTCTCCGCTAGCAGAGCCTTCTGCCTTCTACCAGGTCTCCAGAAAGCAGGAAATTTAGGAAATTTAGGAAATTTAGGACTGGGTGCTAATCCCCACTTCAACTTGCCTGTGAGGTCCTCCAGTGGTCTGTATTTTATTAGTCTTTGCATTATCTGCATCTGCAAGAGTTCCTGGCCAGCGCTAGTTTCCCATTGCATGTGTGTTGAATGAATATGTCACAAATGAATGGAGCGTGAGCAACAGGTCTTTGGGAGCTTGAGCCTCTCTCCTCCTTTCCCCTCCTTTTATCACCCTGACAACACTCCCAGGCCCTGGGAATCCCCTTGGCTCACCTCTTGACTTTCTCAAATCCAGATCCCTGGTTTATGCGCACAATATCAGATGTAAAGACCAATGCTCAGTTGCTGAAAGGCAGCATGGACAACATCAGCACTCTGGGTTCTGAGATTAAGAGGAACAGAGGCGGCGTGGAGGCGACCAGCCTTCAGGTCCGGATGGTAAATGCCAGCCTGGCTCATGTGCGTTCTCAGATTGAGAAGTTGGAAGCTGGTATGAGGGATGCTGCTGCCCAGATCCAGATGCTAACAAGAAGATGGGAGGAGGTCAATGACTTAAATGCCCAGATTCCAGCACTAAAAAGAGATCTGGGTAAAGCCAGCTCTTTAAATGCAAAGATCCAGGGACTCCAGAGCCATTTGGAGAACATCAGCAAGTTGCTCAGACAGCAAAGTAAGTGACTCAGGAAAGAACATTGCAAGCTGACCAGTGGCCCGTGGGACCTTGCCAGCCACAGGGATGAGGCCGGCAGGCTGGTGTGTGCGGAAGGAAGGGGAAGAGGAGCCGGGCAGGCGTGGTTGGACAGTTAAGAAGCAAGGGCTTAGATGTGGGCTTGGAGGACTTAGGGGCTGGAGAGAAGGGACCAGGCACCAGCATGGGCTCTCACACCAAGGCACAGAATATGAAGGCATTAGGGAGTCTCTGTTTTGGCCCACACCTAGCTATTTATCTGTTGAGTTCCTTCCCCAAAGCTGGGGAGCTCAGCCCCTTGTGATGGTCAACAGAGAATTGCTTCCCTCTTCCAGGAGAGACAGATTCTTGATCAATGTCTCTAACTCTCCCCTCTCTGAGCCCGGACACTCTACCACTCTCAGCCAGACCTTCAGCAGGTGGGACAGTGTCCCTGAGCCCTTACACAAGAACCCCTGGGCTCCAGAGCCCAGCCCTACCCACTGCTGTCTCTGAGATCCCACTCAAGAGCCACCTACAGACAGCACCCAAAGGAAACAGGAACCCCAGTGTTCATCTTTCACCCTTGTTCTCCAGATGACATTCTGCAGATGATTTCTCAAGGCTGGAAGTACTTCAAGGAGAACTTTTATTACTTTTCTCAAGTCCAAAAGACCTGGTACAGTGCCCAGCAGTTCTGTATGTCCAGGGATTCACAGCTGACCTCAGTGGCCTCAGAGAGTGAACAGGTGAGTGAGTGCTGTTCTGACGGGCTTTTGGAAGGGGGTGTATTAACTGCTGTATCAGGCAGGATGGGCAAGAGTATGCTGCAGTGACAAAAGTCCCCAAATATCGGTGACCTAACCGTGGAGGATGACTTCTCCGTTACACTGCCTGTCCAGCAAAGGCTTGCAAGGGGTTCTGCCCGCTGTGGTTACTCAAGGACTGACGCCAAAAGAGACTTCATCTCATCGTGTGTTTCTACAATTGCTGAAGCAGGGAGAGAGAACGTGGCAAATTGTATGTTGGCCCTTAAGCTTCTGCCTAGAAATAACAGATATCACTTCTGCTCATATTTCATTGGTCAAAGCAAATGAAGATCTAGTCCCAGCTTCAGAGAGGGCTGGGAGGTACGATCTTTCCATGGGCCCAGAAAACAAAGGCATTAATAACATTAACGTAACCCAGGAAGTCTCCTACCTGGTCAGCAGAATACTGAATGAGTCCCTTTCATCTGGGAGGTGGGCTGCTAGAGCAGGTAACAGTGTGTGCTCTGGAGTCTGGTCAAGAGCCCCAACCCTGCCCCTAACTACTTCTAGAGCCCTGGGTAGGTTACTTAACTTCATCAACTCAGCCTGCTCATCCATGAAACATACATGAGAATAGTCCCTGCTTCAGAGAAGAGCTGAGCAGATCCATGTTAAGTGCTCACTATGTTTAGTTGTCATGATCTGGGCCCTTCTCCTGGGGTCCCTGCTCTGGGGTTCAGCTGAGTTTTTCTTGTGCTCCAGCATCTGCTTCCCGAGGGGCCAAAAGGCCTAAGTCCTGAGTCTGTAAGTTGTGGGGCAAAGATAAATCAGAATTTGGAAGATGGACTCTGGATAGGGAAGGGGCTTGAGAGAGGTCAGTGTGTGCTGTCACGGAGGACAGGTGAAGGACACCCAGAGGGCCAGACGTTCCAGCTGTGAGTCGTGGCAGCATCTCACTCCTTCTCCTTTCCTACAGGAGTTTCTGTACAAGATGGCAGGTGGACTTTTCTACTGGATTGGCCTGACCAAAGCTGGGAGTGAAGGGGACTGGTACTGGGTGGATAATACTCCATTTGACAAGGTCCAGAGTGCACGGTAAGCCCCAGAGCCTCCTTCCCGGCCTGACTTACCCGGGTCAGGGCCAGGGCGCAAAGGATGGGGTGACTACAGGGTTTGTGGTTCTTACCTGTTCTCCTCCACTCATTGTCTGTGGGCCTGGGGACAAATCCGTGGCATCTCCATGGCTTCTGGGGTTTGGCAGCATGGCCTTCCACCAGCCTCAGCAGGGCCCCTGTTCTAAGTCTTGGGCTTTGCCATGCGGGTTTGTGTAGGGCCTTGAGAGCCATGGGCTGGCTTGGCCCTATCCCCTTCCTCTCAGGCACGGGTGCAAAAACGTGATGATCACCCAGGGTCATAGCTGGGGTTGAAGCCATTCATTTCTTCATTGGAAACAAAGTTTTGCTTTGTTTTTTTCCTTTGGTAGGTTCTGGATTCCAGGTGAGCCCAACAATCATGGGAACAATGAACACTGTGCCAATATAAAGATGTCCTCACTTCAGTCATGGAACGATGCCTCCTGTGACAATAAGTTCCTTTTCATCTGTAAACGGCCCTACATCACATCAGAACCATGACAGGATTGGCCCCAGGCTCACACACTGAGCTCCAATGCTTGTCGAACTCGAGAACATGCCCCTCTTTCTTCCAATTCCAGTGTGACTTTGCACCTTCATTTTTCTGGCTTCAAAATTGTCTCAGAGGCACCCTGGAGTTCCTCTGCTTTGGCTGGGAATTCTCTGACCCCATAGAGGCAGCTGGAATGGAAAGGAGACCTTGGAAAGGGAGAGGAGAGCAGAGAGGATTTAAAAGTTCCACCTGTAAGGTGATCAGGACCTTGGGGTACCCTGTCCCTTCAGAGAAGCCTCAATTTTATCACATGGAGGTCGCTTCAGACCACCCAAACAATTCTGATACCGATGTTTAGGGCTTTTCCAGTTCATCCCACAGAATTCCCAGTCGCCTGCCTCGTGGGCCGTGTTCTTCTCAGTGGGAAGAGCTCTGCACTTGGTGACCCTGTCCAGGCCATGACCCCACTGTCCTCTGCTCCACACTTCCTGTCACTTGAGCCCCTTCTTCTCTGAGATGGGGGCATCTGGTTCTGGTCAGGGGCTGATGTGGAAACAAGTTTCCTTTAGAGCTGGATCAGTATCCATGCTCCTTATCGCTCCGCCTCACTCTGCAAACTCCGTGCTCCAGCTCTGTCTCTGCAGTCCTCCACCCAGACCCTCTGCCTCGCCTCCTGCACATCCTCTCCGGGCTGCATTTCCTCCCTGCCCTTTAGATATAGAGGAGGTGGTCCTCTGTCCCTAGAGAGTTCACCTGCAAACTGTATTGGAACGCACTACTGCCGGGTAAAGCGTGTTTTACCTTTGCGGGCATATTTTATTCCTGGATGTGCAGGTGAAAGTGTCAGCAAGGCCATCTGCTCCGCTGGACATGAAGTTCTGGGGTAGCCCCACGAAGCAGCTGGGGGCTCAAAAATGACAAGGGGTAGAGAAGACCTGGCCCTGGAAATGCCACAAAATATAAGCAGTACTTACCCCTGGTTTTTATTGAAATAAAGGAGAGTGAGCTCTGCAGTGTCACGACCCTCTCAGTGGCCTTTCCTCTCTGATGTTCACTGGACAATCTTCTGTTGTCTGGCTTTACTCCCGAAGGGGAGACTTGGCCATGTTTCCCACTCTTCACTCAGACCCCATTCATGGGTATCAAGTCCAAACCCTGATCTGGTGGCCAAGGCGGGGATCCAGGCAGGGGATGAACCACTGGGAGGAGAGTAGAGGGGGAGCAGGGAGGATGTGGTGTGAGCACAGGGGTGGGCTCAGCAGAGCGCCCTCCTCTCCTTAGGTCCTCATCTGGGCCCTCAGTAGGGTCCTGGGGACAGGACATCTTCCTTTAATGACTGTGACCAGCAGGTGGTGTTCTGGGTGCAAAGGGGTCAGGCTTAGGGCAGGGGCATGAGGAGGCAGCTTGAAGAAATATGGGACAAATGGGATTTAAAAAAAAAACAATTATTTATTTATTTATTTATTTGACAGACAGAAAGATCACAAGTAGGCAGAGAGGCAGGCAGAGAGAAAGGAGGAAGCAGGCTCCCTGCCAAGCAGAGAGCCCGATGTCGGCCTCAATCCCAGGACGCTGAGACCATGACCTGAGCTGACGGCAGAGGCTTAACCCACTGAGCCACCCAGGCACCCCAAATGGGATTTTCAAACTATGGCAGTGGGTAAGGGATGGTCAGGCAGTGGTCGTGTCCATGCAGGAGCATTTGTGGGCCAGTTCCAGAGACTGCTGAGGTCTGAGGGCGTGGGCTTGTCAGGGCAGAGAAGATGGGCAAGCCAGTATGGCTGCTGTAGGCAAGAAAGAATTCTACATCTTCATTAAAAAATATTTTGTTGGACGCTTGGGTGGCTTAGTTAAGCATCTGCCTTTGGCTCAGGTCATGATCCCAAACTCTTGGGATCGAGTCCCACATCAAGCTCCTTGCTCAGCCGGGAACCTGCTTCTCCCTCTGCCTCTGCCTGCCACTCCCCCTGCTTGTGCGCTCTCTCTGTTAAATAAATAAATAAATTCTTTTTTTTTTTTTTTAAAGATTTTATTTATTTGTTAGAGAGAGAGAGTACACACAAGCAGGCAGAGAGGCAGGCAGAGAGAGAGGAGGAAGCAGGCTCCCCGCCGAGCAAGGAGCCCAATGCGGGACTCGATCCCAGGACCCCAGGATCATGACCTGAGCCGAAGGCAGTGGCTTAACCCACTGAGCCACCCAGGCGTCCCAATAAATAAATTCTTTCAAAAAAGAGAGAGAGATTTTGTTGTTCCTACTCTTTGTAATTCCAAGCAGAAAATTAGCGAAGAATTTTATTTTTTCCCAGTGTTGGCTCTCCAGTCCTAGCACGAGCTGGTACAGAAATTAAATACAAGCTGCTTCTAGGAAGCTCTCCCACTGGGTTTCCAAGTATTGTGCTGCTCTCCATTTCACTCTCCCACTTGCCATGTTAGTCCTGATATCTGGGCTGCCATATTGAGCAGCATGTGGCCCTGCTCCCCATTCCACCTGCCTCCCGAGGTGGCACTTGTCACCGGGACAGCTGATTCAGAAGCTTGTACTGTAAGGTCTATAGTTTCATGTGCTGCTGTGACATCTTTGAGCCAGTTCTCATCAGAGAGTCACCCTACCTCGCTAATCCCTCTATCCACTGCACCAGCTGCATTCCACCCAACTTGCAACCTGCTGGGTTCCACAAATCCACCTGCCCGCCAACTCAGGAATCTATTCCAACGCGCCGATCACATCCCCTTGCAGAATCAGGGCCACTGTATCTTCTGGTTACTATAGTGCTTGCCTACCACAGTCCTTGCCGTTTCCCTCTGCTCAAGGGTATAACCGCCATGGGGGTCGAGGACACCTGCATCCTATGTGGTGTCTCCTCCTCCAGACTGTGATATGTGACTAAGAAACGACTGTCAGTCTCATCCGTTCAGTGTTAGATGCTATCTGTTTGGTCAGCTTGCACTATTTAGGGCACGAGATCCTTCCCTCGCTGCTATGGACTGAAGGGTTGTGTCCCCTCAAAACCTGGACATTGAAATTCTAACCTGCAGCATGATGGTGTTAGGAGGTGGGGACTTTAGGAAGGAATTAGGTCCCAAGAGTAGAGCCCTCACGTTGGGATTCATGCTTTTATGAAAACAGACAGGAGATCTTGCCTCTCTCTCTCTGCCAGGCGAGTTTACAATGAGAAGTCGTCAGTCTGCAAACCAGAATGCTCTCAGCAGGAACTGGACCTGCCAGCACCTTGACCTTGGACTGCTCAGCCTCCAGAATGGTGAGAAGCAAGCGTTCCTTGTGTAAGCCTCTTCGTCTATAGTATTCTTGATATCGTAGCTTGAATTGACTGCGTCACCCACCACTGGGGTGAACAGGTGGCGTTCAGAACGAGGTTGGTCCTGGTGTGAAGATGTGAGCAGGACCTTCTGACCACTTCTCTGGGAAAGAATTTGGGGTAGAAACACCCTGGGGATGAGGCCACTAATAGGGAAGTCTAGCTGGAGGGCCCTGACTTAAAGAAGGGCTGCTAGGGCCATCATGGAGCACCTGCAGAAACGAGGGACAAGCAGAAGCTATGGGGCAGAAAGGCAGAGCGCCTGGGAGCATATCTGGCAGGGAAAAGAGAATGGTGCAGGGGAGAGAGTAGCTGAGCTGCAGAGGGGAGGGCAGCAGAATGAAGGCCCAAGGATTCTGGCTGCGTGGCTTCCTGGTGCCACCTTAGATCCAGACCAGTCCTCCAGACCCTCCTGGGTCCTGTGCATGTGGATGTAATGATAAGACTAGCCCCGCCCTTCCACCCTATTGTCGTTTTTCCAAACAGAAAGAGCCCGAGTCAGTGAGGATATACTTTTACTGGGAGTCTGTGCCTTGGGTCAGCGTCCTGTGGTCTTGGCTCACTTAATCCCCACATCCAGCGCCCACTTCTCCAGTGAGGTCCCTTCATGGGTACCTGCCCTTCTGCATGCTGGAGTGAGGGCCTCCCCCCCCCCCCCCCCAGTCCCAGATTCCTTGTGTCTTGTTGTGTCCTTCCATATGGGAGAAGGGGCAAGCAAGTTCCCTGGGGCCTTTATCCTAATAAGGGTGCGAATCGCATTTATGAGGACTCCACTCTAATCCCTAATCCCTCAAGACCTAATCCTTCCGAAAGGCCCTACTTCCTACTACCATCCAATTGGGGGGTTAGTATTTTAACATACAAATGTGGAGGGGGACATGAACATTCGGATAATAGCAATCACTGTGTGTAGCCCACACTTCAGAATTGGGGAGTTACACCCTACTTTCTTGAAGATGGAATAGCCACACAAATTATTTGCAATTTTTCTGTGTGGGAGATTTATCTATTTATTCAGACATTTATTTTATCAGGATGGATTCATGGATTTTATACTTTGGGTTATAGTCGATTACAACTTTATTTTCTTACTTAAATGGTTCCAGTTTGGGCCAGTAGGCTCTCTTTTATGTAGCTCCTGTGTCTTTTTTGACAAAAATAAACAATATTTTTATTGTTACTATTATTATTATTATTATTTTAAGGATTTATTTATTTATTTGACAGACAGAAATCACAAGGAGGCAGAGAGGCAGGCAGAGAGAGAGGAGGAAGCAGGCTCCCTGCAGAGCAGAGAGCCCAATGTGGGGCTCGATCCCAGGACCCTGGGATCATGACCCAAGCCGAAGGCAGAGGCTTTAACCCACTGAGCCACCCAGGCGCCCCAATTGTTATTATTTTTTAAAGCATCTCTTTACTTCCAGGCACAAGATACTCTGGGTGCCTTTTTTATATGTCCTGCCCTGGTCCTAGAATCAGCCATTTCTCCAAAGAGCCCTGGTTTCTTTTTTCGGATAATGATATTAGAAACTGAGATCTGGGTGCGTGTGTGTGGCCGTTGCAGCTGGGGTATTTGCTTCTCCTTGGCTGAGGGAGCAAGAGAATGTGTATGTGGATACCTGATTTTTTTTTAAGATCATTATACATGCAATATGGTGACAAGACTTGCGGGGGGCAAGACTAGAGGTAGG